CAGTCAGATCCAGGTTCAAATGTCCCATCTATCTCTGACAAGATGACTTGGGGCCACTCCCTCCTGTCCCCTATGGGTGCAGCACCACTCAATGGAAGTCTCAGGCAAGCTGCAGGTGTCAGCTGAAATTTTCTAGTAGCCACATTAAGAAAAGTGAAAATAATTTTGGTGAACTTTTTTTTTTTTTTTTTTTGAGATGGAGTTTCACTCTTGTTGCCCAGGCTGGAGTGCAGTGGCATGATCTTGGCTCACTGAAATCTCCTCCGAGGTTCAAGTGATTCTCCTGCCTCAGCCTCCCGAGTACCTGGGATTACAGGCATGTGCCACCACACTCAGCTAATTTTGTATTTTTAGTAGAGATGGGGTTTCACCATGTTGCTCAGGCTGGTCTCAAACTCCTGACCTCAAGTGATCCACCCACCTCAGCCTCCCAAAGTGCTGGAATTACAGGTGTGAGTCACCGTGACTGGCTGGTGAACTTAATTTTGATAGTATATTTTATTTAGCCAATATATCCAAAATCTTACCATCTCAATATGTAATCAGTAGAAGAGTTATTCAAGAGATACTGTATTTGCTTTTGGGGTTTGAGTCTTCAAAAATCCATGTGTATCTTACACTTACAGCACATTTCGGTTGGCCCATACCATATTATAAACGCTTCCCTGCCAGAGGTGGCCTGAGGCCATCAGAGTGAACAGGTGAAGAGTCCAGCCCTCGAGACCTCGTCCCTGCTGGGGGTCACTGGGCCTGGCCTGCAAAGCCCTGCAGAGCAGTAGATGCACCTGGCCTGGGAGTCACCCTCTCACCCCACGACCCCTGGCCTCTCAGATGCCCCGAGATGGGTCTCTTGGCCCCTCAGACTGTCCAGCAGCCGACAGCCCTTGCTGAGCCCCCACTATGTGCAGCCCAGGAAGACACTCCCCATGCAGAGCTCGCCCCCAAAGCAAACAGGAGCGGGCGACAGCTGTGGTGGTGTCCCCGGCCGCTCACGTGAGCGTGGATTAGGGGCAGACCCTATGCCTGGTCATGTCTGAGGCCAGCACATGATGGGCAGGACTCAGCATTCCCTGGCAGCTCAAGGGTGGGGCTAGGGGGCCCGAGAGCACTCAGCCACTGCCCCAGGCCCAGGCCTGTGGTCCTGGGGGACTCCGGGCTCCGGGGGCGTGGGGGCAGCGCCGTGGTTGGAAGGAAGCGGCCTGCAGAGGGAAAGCCCTCCCCTGCTCAGAATCTCCTATGCCTTCTGGGCCCTCCAGAGCTTCACTGGTGCTCCAGCCCTGCCCTCACCCTCCAGCCTCGCCTGTTAGCCCTGGAAGCTCCTGTCATTCCTGGAAAAGTGCTTTCGCCTTTCTGGCCCTGGAGCCTCAGCAGATGCTGTTCCATCCACCTGGCGCCCCCTTCCCTGCGCTCACCTCCAGGCTGGCCTGCGTCACCTCCTCCGGGAAGCCCTTGCTGACAACCCTGATTTGATGATAGTGCCTGTTTGAAACTCCCTGCCTTGCTGGGGGGCCCCAGGTTTCCAACAGACTTTCCTGGGATACGAGGTTCTCCTGATGCTCACGCCGCCCCTTTATTCTCCTCCCCCGACCGTGGCAGAAGACTGCTTAGCTGGGGACAGTCACCTCTAAGCTCATTTCTAGTCAACAGAAGAGACAAGAGACAAGCCTCTCTCGACGCATGAGGAACAGGCCTGGGATGGGCTCAGGAGGCCTCCAGGCATGAGGGGGACCACAGCAGTGGAGGGGGGCCTAGTGTGAGCCTTGACCCTCTGAGGGGAGCAGAGCAACTGGAACCCAGGGGCCCAGGGCAAAGCCGGCACAGGGTCATTAGAAGAAACACCTGTCTAATGGGGAGAAGGGAGTGCTCCATCCCCAGAGGCATACAAGCACCCACACCAGGTGATGGAAAAGGGATTGGAACTTTGCACAGGGGGTTGATTTGCCCTTTTAAGGGGTACCCTTTCAGCCCTCAAGACTTAGGCACAGCCTGAGGTCAAGGCCTGAAAGGGGCTGTCCCACCCACACAGGCCAAGCCCCTTCTCAGGGCCAATCATTAATTGGCACTGCTTGAGTGGCTGTTCCCACGAGTGTCCCGGCAGCCTGCCAACCGATGGCCCAGCTCCCAGCCCATGCCAGGGCACCCAGCTGGCCTCGGACATGGCTAGCCTCCCTGGTCGGCCTCTCTTCCTGCTCATGACCCCCCACAGCTAAGCCCTGGAAGGGGAACGCGGCCTGGCGTGCTTGGGGAGGAGAGAGGAGCCAGATATGCCTGAAGCTCTGGTTTTCAGAAGGGATGTGGGGAACCAGGGTGAATATGGGAGGCAGCTACTCAGATTCCAGGCTAAGTTCACTTTATCCTGAGGCCATAGGGAGCTACTGCAGGTTTTGGAGGAAGGGCTTCTGTTTAACTCAACAACTAGGGCTGGTGTGGGCAGGAGGCAGTGACAGCTGCCAGAGGAGGGCCAGAAAAGCAGACCGTGCTGTGGCCATGGGGCAGAGCCCTGAGATGAAATGATACCAGCTTTCTGCTGAGACAAATGGCCTGGGGGAAGCTGGGCACAGGAGATTTAAGTAATAGGGTGCTGAGTGTGTCAGGCCAGAGGTTCGCATGGATCGCGGGGAACAGAAGCCGTGGGCAGAAGTGAGCCTGCAGTTGACAGGGCAGAGCAGGGCAAGGGGGCCAAGGGGCACCTGGAAGAGCTGGCACTTCCCAGCTGGGACTGGGCGGAGAAGTCCAGGCTACAAGCTGGGGCCGAGAAGCCAGGGAAGAAGGGGGACAGTTGATACCAGGAAGGCCACGAGAGGTCCAGACCGAGAGCAGTGGGGGCCCCCGATCAAGGGTGTGAAATGAGGATGGTGGGTGTGGACAGCTCTGCCAAAAAGTTTGCTTCTGAAACGCTTGGGAAAGCAAGGGGGTGTCTTAGGTGAGTTCCCCAGCAGAAGAGACTGAGACGGGATGCAGCACTTCCAGGATCGAGGAACAGGACAGGACACACAGCCGCATGGCCACACAGCCTGATTCCCAGGCGAGCTCAGGGACCCCACAGAGATGCCCAGGGCGGCCCCATGTCCCTCACCCCATGTCTCATGGTCCCAAATAAAGTTCAAGCTCCCAGCCCTCTGTCGAGCAGCAGGACGATTTCCACGTCTGCCCCTCTCTTGGCGCGGAGAGGCAGCGAGGATTAGCAGGAGCGGCGAGGGACACCTGATCCACGCTCAGCTCCACCACAACTCCCCGGGGGTGCGCCCGGGAGGCAGGGGCACCCACAGCTGCCTCCGAGCGCGCCAGCTCAGCGCTGAGGGGCCAGGCAGGCAGATGGGCCCTAGCATGAGTGAGTACTCGTGCCGACACCCTCCCCACCGGGGTGGATGGGCAGCGCTGCCTGCCACAGCTGGCACCTGGAAGGAGGGAACTGCACTTGGGTGGTGGGGCCCCAGGGAGCGGGCGGTGCCACCCTCCTCGCTGTGCCAGGCGCCACCCACAGGCTGCTCACCACAAAGGGGCCCCCAGGGGCTTTTCCCCTGCGCCACCCCCAGCCCCACACCAGCGTTCCAAGCCCTGCAGAGCCTAGCTCTGGCCTGTGTCCCGGCAGCTGCGGCTCTGCTCAGCTCCAGGATCAGAAGGACACGTTATGCCCATGGGCTGGGCATCCCTGCAAGCCTGGCACTGTGCCCAAGTTATCCCCCCTCCTCTGCCTCTTGCCACAGCCTGGAGGGCAGGGCACATCACTAGCCCCACTCTCATGCACAGAATAGCAATTTATTGAGCACCTGGGAGAGCCACGGGGACCCACACAAGGGCCTACTGGCTTGGAGCTCACGTCACCCATGGGGAAGTTGAGGCCCTGAGCAGCCCCGAGTGACGTGCTCAAGGTCACACAGCTGGATTCAAACCCAGGTCAGGCTCCAAAGATCCCTTTTCCTTTTTTTTTCTGAGACAGAGTCTTGCTCTTTCACCCAGACTGGAGTGCAATGGTGCAATCTTGGCTCACTGCAACCTCCCTCCGCCTCCTGGGTTCAAGCAATTCTCCTGCCTCAGCCTCTCAAGTAGCTGAGATTACAGGCATATGCCACCATGTCTGGCTAATTTTTGTATTTTTAGTAGAGATGGGGTTTCACCACGTTGGCCAGGATGGTCTCGATCTCTTGACTTCAGGTAATCCACCCACTTCGGCTTCCCAAAGTGCTGGGATTACAGGCATGAGCCACCAGGTCCAGTCCAAAAGTCACTTTTTAAAGCCTCTCTCTGGGCCTCAGTCTCCTTCTCTGTAAAATGGGTATGATGAAGCCTTATCCCCAAGGCTGTGAGGACAGGGAGGGGTTGTGGCCTCAGGGGCTGTGCACGGTCGGCAAGGATCTTGCCAGCCCACCTGGCAGGTTTCGGTGATCTCTTGGTGTCCATCAAACCAGAGGCCCACCCACTCCGCACATCCGCCCACCCGCCCTGCCCTCCGGCCATCGGACTCTCCGTGCTCCATGTGTCATGCTGGAGCACCATCCTGCACAGTTCACTCGGCTCCGTCTACCTGGAAGCCCCTCCACTCTCAGAATCCACAGCATTCACGAAGCACTTCCTGTGCCCCAGCTACCCCCTGCAGTAAGCATTACTATTCACTACTCTCCAGATAACAGGAATGGAGGTGCTGCCAGAAGAGGCAACGTGCCTCCCTCTGCACAGCTGCTAGGCAGCATCACAGTGCGTTCCAACCACTGCACGGCACCGCCAGCACCGCCACGCTGCCAGCCTACGGGCCCACGGCCACGTCACGACAATGTCCTCCAGCCCTGAGCAAGGACCCTCATCTGCACACAGCCTGGCTCCCATCGAGGCTTCAGACGTGGCAGTGCCCCCTGGGGCCAGGCCAGGCACGCGGAAGGGCTCACAGGAAGGCAAAGAAATCGACCCCTGGGAACAGTGGCCTGGGCTGGCCTTCAGTGGGTGGCCTGGCCCACTGCCCCGGCCGCGATGGCTGGGCCCCTTGAGCCCAGAGGCGCCCTTACCTACTCGGAGCTCTTGCCCAAAGACAGTCTTCTCGCCGAGGGCAGAGCAGTTCCAGCGTCCAAAGCGGAACTGGTACTGGCACTCGTTGATGCCCATCTGCGCCCCCTCCCCGATCACAATGATGGCATCGGGCCGGCTCTGGCAGATGGCACGCTGCCGCGGGGCTAGGCCAGGAATCTTGTTGCAGATGATGTTGGCTCCCAGGGCCACCACTGATGACAGTGCTCTGCGGAGGGGAGGAGACAGAGGCTGTGAGACAGCGGCGGCCAGCGCCCCTCCTCACCCCCACCACCTTTCCCCCACTCAGCCTCTCAGTCGCAAGCCCTGCACTAGCTCCGCCCACTAGGGCACAAGCAGATCCCTGCCATCAGAGGGGCCGTTTCCCATCAACTCACACGCATGACCCCAGGTGACCACACGTGTCACCCCAACTCACACGCGCGACCCCAGCCACACACACCCAGGCCTCTGAGCCTCAGAATACAAGAATCACGTAACCGCAAGTCCTACAGCTCTCCAGGCCACTGAATCAGATACACAGCCCCTTCAGATTAGACAGGATCATGCTTGGGATGTGGCAGCCGCCAACTCAGGACTGTCTGCAGCTGTCTCCAAGCGGCAGACCCCAACTCCCCGACCAACGGGGCTTCCCCCTCATTTATAAATTCCCTGATGGCCCCTCCGTGGCACCTGAGCCAGGTGGGCTGCTGAGCAGACCAGCAGCCAAGCCCACCCAGTACTGACTCCAGCTCTGACCTGTGTGTACCTTTGAGAAGGCGCTCCCTGTCTGAGCCTCAGTTTCCACACCCATGAAACGGGGGTATAAACCACCCATCCCCAGGCTCAGACGACCACAGGGAGAAAGGTTGCATCGGGAATGGTGGCTGTGGCTGTTTTCTCTCCTGTCGGGGTGACTGGGTGCATGCAGAGGAAGAAATTAGGCCTGCAGCAAATTGAGCACTTACTGTGTGCTGGGCTCGGCAGGGGCCTTATTGCAAGACTGCAGCTTCGCAGTGGTCCCCCAGGGGTCCTTTGTCACTAATCTCCTAGCAACTCTTAGGACCTGAAGCCCTAGACAGGAACCCGCAGGCCCCGCTCCCTCTACTTCAAGTGTTATAAGAGGGATTGTCGTTGTTTGTTTGTTTGTTTGTTTTGAGACAGAGTTTCAGAGTCTTACTCTGTTGCCCAGGCTGGAATGCAGTGGTATGATCTCAGCTCACTGCAACCTCCACATTCTGGGTTCAAGCCATCCTTTTGCCTTAGCCTCCCGAGTAGCTGTACTACAGGTGCCCACCACCACACCAGGCTAATTTTTGTATTTTTCGTAGAGACGGGATGTCATCGTGTTGGCCAGGCTGGCCTCGAACTCCTGACCTCAGGTGATCCACCTGCCTCAGGCTCCCAAAGTGCTGGGATTACAGGTGTGAGCCACCACACCTGGCCTTGTGTGTTTTTTTAATGAGGTGAAATTCCCATAATATAAAATATAAAATGAACCACTTTGAAGTGTACAGTTCTGCGGCATCTAATACATTCAGTGTTGTGCAACCTCCAGCACCATCAGGTTCTCACATATTTCTACCACCCCAAAAGGAAACCACACCCATCAGGCACTCCCCGTCCTCCCCTCCCTGACCCCGGCAACCACCAGTCTGCTTTCTGTTCCCATGGATCTGCCCATTCTGAATGTTTCCTATGGAGGGAATCATTCATCATGTGACCTTTGGTGTCTGACTTCTTTCACTTAGTGTCATGTTTTCAAGGGTCATCTGCGTGGTCACCGGTCAGTGCTTCATACCTTTAGGCTGATGACGTTCCATTGTATGGATAGACCACATTTTGTGTATCTATTCATGGCTGGTGGACATTTGGGCTGTTTCCATCTTTGGACTATTGTGAGTAATGCCGCCATGAACGTGCGGGTAAGGTTTGTGTTTGAGCCTCTGTTTTCAGTCTCTGGGGCATGGACCTAGGAGTTGCTGGGTCAGGTGGTCCCTTCGCTTTCTGAGGACTTGCCAGACCGCCTTCCACAGCGGCTGCCCCAGTCATCTGGCTTTAAGCACCCATGGAAGGGGCAGTGAGCTGGAAGGAGGGGGGTGGCTGGATTCAGGCAGACCTGCAGGCAACAGCGGGTTTCAGCACAGTGCTTGGCTTCAAAACAACAGATCGGGCCTGTTTAGTGAGGGGGAAAGATGTGGGAGGTGGGGGGACTGCCAGGGGCTCCCTGAAGCTGATGCCCATGGCCCTGGGCCCCTAGTGTGCTGGGGACCCTTCTACCTACTGCCCGCCCGCCCTTTTCTTGAGGGAAACAAGTCAGTGATTTTCCAGGGCGGCCGAGCACCCACAGCCAGCTGGAAAGTCCCCGTGTGGCCTGAGCCCATAGCACGTGCTGCAGCCGGGCCGCCAGGGCGACACTCAATCCCTGAGGCCCGCCTGGCCCGCCCACTAATCTGGCCAAGACCTTCCTGGGTCTCCCACGGGCACAATGGGCAGAAAAGCCCCAGGCTGGCATGGAGGAAGAGCATCTGGATGGGTGGGGCTGGGAGCGGGCTGGAATCCGGGGAATTCAGCCCAAAGTAATTGTAGATCCTCGGAAAACCGAGCTGGGGAAATGAGATGGATGGGAACCCTGCCGGGCACCCTGCTTGCCGGGGGGCAGAGCCCGCCTCAGTCCTGGCCTGAGGGACACTCTCCAGTCCCAAATTCTCCCCGCAGCCTCAGGGCTGAGAAACCCCCATTATCTACAGTAGATGCCCTTGCTGGGGGGACCCTGATAGGACTTAGTGTGGACCCTGGGGCAGCAATGGATCATTGTGATGGCCAAAGCCCTGGCCTCCCACCTCCAGGCAGCTGTCCACCACCGGCCCTGCCAGCACCCAGATCTGACCATGTCAATCCTCTGCTCAAAGCCCGTCCCTAGGTCCCCATTGCCCAGGGGACTATCCAAGCCCCTGTGCCTGGAACTAGAGGCCTCTTGGAGTGTGGCCTCGGGTGACCCCACCTCCCAGCAGTGTCTGCTGGTCCCTCCCCTGGGTGCTGTTCCTTCTCCGTTTTTCTGTCTGACATATTCCATTTCCCTTTCAGGGCCCAAGTGAAAGCCCCACGGTGCTCAAGCTCCTTGTTCCCTGGCACTGAGGGGGAGCACAGTGGGTGCTGGTTTTGCAGGTGTAGAGCCCATTCTCCAGTCTCACAGTCACCGTGTCCGTGCCCGGCTTCCCCACCAGATGGTGGGCCCCTCCAGGACAGTGTCAAGTCTGCTCAGTCAGGTCTCAGGGCTGCCAGGTGTAGCCATCTCGAGTGTTTGTGATATAGATAAATGAATACATGAACAAGTCAGTACTTAAGAACCACATCTGAAAGAACTCCTACAACTCAACAACAAAAAGACAAATAACCCAGTGTGACAGTGAGCAAAGCGCCTGTAGACATTTCTCCAAAGAAGATATACACATGGCCAACAAGCTGGAGAAGATGCTCAGCCTCGGTAATCACTGGGGAAGTGCAAACCAAAACCAAAATGAGATGCCACCTCACACCCACTAGGATGGCTATGATAAGAAAGAAGGAAAGAAGGAAAAGGAAGGAAGGAAGGAAGGAAGGAAGGAAGGAAGGAAGGAAGGAAGGAAGGAAGGAAGGAAGGAAGGAAGGAAGGAAAGAAAGAAGGAAAGAAAGAAAGAAAGAAAGAAAGAAAGGAAGGAAGGAAGGAAGGAAGGAAGGAAGGAAGGAAGGAAGGAAGGAAGGAAGGAAGGAAGGAAACAAGTGTTGCCAAGGATGTGGAGAAATTGAAACCCTCATACATTGGCAATAGGAGCATGCAATGGTGTCACCACTGTAGAGAATGGTTTGGCAGTTCCTCAATAAGTTCAACCTGGAGTTACCCAGCGATTCCACCCCTCAGTATATATTCAAATGAACTGAAGACAGGTGTTTAGACTAAAGCTTGTACACAAATTATCACAGTAGCACTACTCACAATAGCCAAACAGTGGAAACAAATTCAAATGCCTGTCAACAGCTGAGTGGATAAACCAAATGTGATCTATCTATACAGTGGAACATTATGTGGCCATAAAAACAAGCGAAGCACTGGGTTGTGCCACAGTGTGGAGGAACCTCAACAATACAATGCTACATAAAGGAAGCTAGACCCCAAAACCACATACTGTGTGGTTCCAGGGATATGAAATGTCCAGAATAGGCAAATCCATCGAGACAGAAAGTAGAAAGGTGATTGCCAGGGCTGGGTGGAGAAACGGGGAATGGGGAGTGGCTGCCTAAGGGGTATGGAATTTCCATCTGGGGTGATGGAAAGTTCTGGAACTGGGGGTAGTGATTGCACCACATTGTGAATGGACTAAATGCCACTGAATTGTTCACTTAAAAATGGTTAAAGTGGTAAATTTTATTTTATGTATTTTAACCACGATTTTAAAAACTCTATCTTTACACAGGACTTCTGCACCCCAGTGAAGATTAGGTCCCAATTGAAGGGGAAGTGAGAGGCCCACCCAGCCGACGTGCTGCTTGCTGTCTTGCACACTTACGCGGGGTGTGTGGGGCTGATGGAGCAGGGGGACTAAAGCCCCCAGTAGCCCCCTGTGTGCCCGTGCACAGGTAAAAGGGGAAGTAAAGGCATCGGGGAATAGAATACAGGCTCCTGTACTGTATTTTGTGCCAGGAGTATAAATAATTAGATGTGGTTGATAATTCAGAAATAATTTCAAAATTGTCTCCCTTACTAAGTGGGGGTGTCTGTGTTTCCACTAACAATACCAGGTGCTCCCATTCTGAGGGTCGACTCTGGGCCGTTGGGACCTCAGACCTCACCGGTGTATCACTTAATCCTCACCTTGCTAGGTGAGTGGTGCCATCCTCATTTTGCAGGCGTGCAGACTGGAGCTCAGAGAGGCTAGGGGACCTGCCTGGGGCTGCACAGCCAGGCTTTGAGCCCAGTCCCTGAGTCCAGAACTCAGGTAGAAGAAGGAGTGCCACGTAGTAAGTGTGGGACATACGCTGGAATGTGGCCTGGAGCTTTTCACTCTCAAAACAGCTTGAGTTCTTCCTTTGCTTAAAATCCTTCAGGCCGTACGGCAATTCACTCCAGTGCGCAGGCGGCTCCCATGCAACTGCCATCCCTGCCCTCCCGCTGCTGCCCCGGGCACTGTCCAGTCTGACCCCTGCCCTCCCGGAGCTGGCCTGGCCCTGCCACACCCCAGACCTGGCCCATGCCATTCCTTCCACCTGGAGGGGAGGGGTTGGGGAGAGGGGTGACTGGGACTGGCTTTCCTTAGAGAATGGTTGGCGTGGGAAGTGGGGGAAAAATATCTACCAACTAAATAGCCAGCGATTTAGAGGAGGCCAGAGAGCCACGCAGGTAGCGTGCTCTCCCCAGGGCCACTGGGGAGCGTGGAGGCACTGAGGAGCGTGAGGCACTGGGGAGTGTGGGATCACTGAGGGGCATGGGGCCACTGGGAAATGCAGGATCACTGGGGAGCGTGGGGGCACTGGGGAGTGTGGGGTCACTGAGGGGCATGGGGCCACTGGAAAGCGTGGGCTGGCCATGGGCACCCTCAGCAAACCCTGTGGAGCAGACCCAGCTTCGCTCCAAGTGTGAAAACTCTCAGGGGTGGCTCCCTCGTCCTCGGCTGCTCGCCTGGGTGCCCAGGGAAGATTGGCCAGGGAGGCTCTGAGTGGCTGTGAGTGCAGAGATGCTGGGAGCAGGGGCGTTCATATTTCAGTCGCTGACCTTTTCCATGGAAAAATTCTGCCCCCGGCTCATCCCCCTGCACTGAATGGGGCCTCGGGACACAGGCGAGATGCCAGGTGGGATGGGCAGGTTGCAAGTTGGGAAAGTCCTTACCCCAGCCTGGGCCAGTCCACTGCAGGGAGGGCGCTTATGGGAGAAGAGTTTAGCCCTGCAGACAAGAAGCCTCCTCCTCATTCCCTGGGGACTGTGGACAAGGCCCTGCAGTCTCAGGCCGGGGCCAGCAGAGGCTCAGGAGCTTCCTGAGATGCATCCCGGCGAAGGTTTTGAGCCAGCCCCGTGTACAAGGAGGGGCTGCCGCCAGGTAGCGGGACAACCTTGCTCTTTGGCACAGTCTCCCCAAGGGAGTGAGGCTGCCTCCAGGAGGAGGTGGCTGCAGTGGGGGTGAGGGGAAGGTAAGGACACTCCAGCCCCTTCATCCACTACCAGGTGACAGATGAGAGCAGAATTGGACAGAAGGCGAGTCCTTGGTGGCAGTGTTAGCCAGGTGCCAAGCCAGCCCCACAACCCTGGGGCGCCTGAGCCTGCAAATTCCTAGCTGCGAGACTCAGGCAAGTTTCTTAACTGTGCCTCAGTTTTCTCCTCTGTAAAATGGGAGTGATAACAGCCCATATCCATCTCAGAACTGCTGGGAGGGCCCATCCTGTGACGTCCACAGCACAGGCTGCTGGTCTGCAGTGACAGCCCTCATCATTAACCCTTGAAGCTTGAGACTGCAAAGTTCATTACTGACTCATTCATTGAACACACAATGCCTGACCCCCAGGATCCAGCCTCCCCCTGGAGATCAGGGACCAGCTTCGTCTATGGGGCCCCAAGCCCGAGACCAGCAACTGGGAAGCCACTGGGTATCCACATCAGCCACTGCACCCATCACCAGTGGGTCCATGCCCAGATCAGCCCTTCCCTGTGACCCAGCAATCTCTCGCCTGTACCCAGGACAAACCCGTGCTTGTGATCACCCAAGGATACGCACATGGGTCTATCGCACAAATGGGGAACAACCCAGGCGTCTGTCAACAGGAGGATGGATAAATTAAGTGTGGTGCATTCATGCCGCGTGACTACACGGCGAAGAAACTGCTGACCCGCATCAACATGGATGGGCCTCACAGACATCATGGTGCGTGAAAGAAGCCAGGAAAGAGGATGTGTGGATTCCACCACTTCTAAGAATCTCCGGCGAGGCGCCATGGCTCACGCCTGTAATCCCAGCACTTTGGGAGGCTGAGGTGGGTGGATCACGAAGGCAGGAGATCAAGACCATCCTGGCCAACATGGTGAAATCCCATCTCTACTAAAAATACAAAAATTAGCTGGGTGTGGTGGCGTGAGGCTGTCATCCCAGCTACTCAGGAAGCTGAGGCAGGAGAATCGCTTGAACCAGGGAGTTGGAGGTTGCAGTGAGCCAAGTTCGCACCACTGCACTCCAGCCTGGTGACACAGTAAGACTCCATCTCAAAAAAAATACCCAGAACAAACACACCTCATCTTGGAGAGAGAAATCAGAATAGTTACCCTTGGGTGGGTGGCACCAACTGGGAGTGAGCAGAGGGAGCCTGCCGGTATGCCAGAATGTTCTTTGTCCCCAGCTGGGTGGTGGTTGCATGAGTGCAC